CAATACCGAGTACAAAAAGGTATAGAGAAAGTGGGCACCCCTATCTGAGGTCCCGAGAAGGAAAGGACTTACTAAGGGGTGGCCATTAATGAGGATGGAGAAATTTGGGAAGGATATGCAATTTAAAATGAGGTTATAGAAAACTTTAGTAAATCCAAAGCACCTCAAAGTCTTCATGAGAAAGGCCCATTCAATTCGATCATATGCTTTAGATAAGTCTAATTTCAGCATAAACGACCCATACTTATCTTTGTAATGCTTCATGGAATGAAGGACATCCTGAATGATAATAGTATTGTCAACAATATTCCTGCCCGGAGTAAAAGCACACTGGAAATGTGAGATGAGCCTAGGAAGGGGCAATTTTAATCTGTTGGTAATTATCTTGGCAATAAGCTTGTATAGAATGTTACTCAGCCCAATGGGCCCGAAATCGTTAGGGCCTTCCACAACATCATTTTAGGAATTAAACCCAAAAATGTAGAGTTCACTTTACTGATAGAGTTAGGATTGTTGAAGATGTTCTGCACCCAGAAGATAATTTCATCCTTCATCAAGTCCCGGCAATGCTGGAGCACACCAGCAGGAAATCCATGAGGCCTAGGAGATTTCCAATGACCCATATTGAACAAAGTGTGGGAGATTTCCGTCTCATCAGAGATCTGTTGTCTTCCTCGAAAATAGTATGGGAAATATCAGGAAAATTAAAGTCAGAGAGGTCTGGATTCAAAGAAGAAAAGAGGGCCTGGAAATGTTTCACTATCATTGGATGTTTAGGTCCCATTAGGCTTTTTAAGGCTATGAATTCCATTTTTCCTTTTTCGATTTGAAGCCGTGATATGAAAGAATCTTGTACAGCAATCTCCATCAACTTTCCAACTAATAATATGGCTTCATTGCTTCCAATAGGTCTCCTCTCGTTTCAACCATGAAAATAATTCATCCTGCAGAATTGCGACATTTTGGGAAAGGACAAATTGGCACGACAGTGATTGTTCATGCAACAATTGGTTTTCAATGTGATTAATGTGCCTCTTAATAATATTACAAAATTGGAGTTGGACCAGTGACGGAGTTCAACAAGGGCAGATTTAAGTTTTGAGTGCAACATACCATTTGACTTGCTCCAAATATCATGGAAGCAAGAGCGGAAATTTGGCTCTTTAACCTAGAATTCTTCGAACCTCTGAACTTTAGAGCTGAAAGGCAAATTGCCTTTAGTTGCGGTCGGGAACAAATTGGCCCAATCTGTAGAGACTAGGAAACAGTCCAGTTTCATTCGTATGATACCTTCATCAGAGCATTAGTTGGACCAGGTAAAGCAGGGACCAGAAAAGCCAAGGTCAATCGGCCCACAGTTCAAAATTATGGATTCCAATGGATTGGTCTGTCATCAAAGAGTCACACCCTCCAAATTTTTCAACTGCAGAGGAAATCATGTTTAAATCACCAGATAAGCACCATGGATTATTGGTCGAGACTGAATAGGCATGAATCTCATTTAAGAACTGTTGATGAGAATGAGAAGAAGGATTAACATAATAACATAGGAGGTCCCACTTAGAGTAACGAGGCTGGTTCAGTATTGAACAAATCACAACATTTTCTAAGAGTTTGTAATGTCAAGGGACACATTGCTGGCCCATTCAAACCAGATACCACCGGAACGTCCAAATGATGGAATGATTTCGATTTTATAGTTAGAAATCCATTGAAGAAGATACTAGATCGACTCATATTATTCTTTGTTTCACAGATGAAAAAATATCCAGCTTGTGTTTATGTGGGAATTAGCTAAAAAAGTTTTAATTCAAAATGTATAACCAAATAAAGTCTTTCTCAAAACACTTGTTCAAACCAAACAAATTTCATGTCAAAATGCATGTATTAACCTAAACTTGTTGGTCGGAAAAGAAGTGGGAATTCAACCGAAGCACTTGTTGGAGAAAGAGCCTCTTTCTAGGATTGGCATCATTGTTTAGGACATACATCTTTGAAAGTAGTTAAATTAGTAATTTCTAAATTTGGATTACCTTATTCAGGACATGTGAATGATCATTTTGTTTGTGAAGCTTGCCAATTAGGCAAAGCACATCGATTAAATTTGCCAATTTCTTCTAATAATGTCTCTCAACCTCTAGAGTTAATTTATTAAGATGTGTGGGGACCCACCCCAGTTTTKTCTACAAAAGGCTATAAGTACTATGCTTTGTTTATTGATGCATATTCAAAGTTTTTTTGGATTTATCCTCTTGAAAGGAAATTATATGTTTTTGATGCTTTTGTTAAATTTAAGAGACATGTTGAAAATTTGTTTTCCACTAAAATTAAGATGTTCCAAAGTGATTGGGGATGAGAGTTTCGAAAATTATCCCCCTTCTTGGATAGTGAAGGAATTTCACACAAGTTGAGTTGTTCTCACACTCATGAGCATAATGGAAATGTTGAACGGAAACACCGACATATTATTGAGTCCACTATTTCTCTACTGGCGTCCTCCTCTCTCCCCAAACCCTTTTGGGTTAAAGCAATAGAAACTGTAGTGTTTCTCATTAACCAGTTGCCTAATCCAACACTTAGTAATCTCTCTCTTTATGAAAAGTTGTTTGGTTGAAAACTTGATTATTCTATATTACGAAGTTTTAGTTGTCTTTGCTATCCTTTTATTCRGCCATATAACAAGCACAAGATGGACTATAGATCTGTTAAATGCATTTTTATTGGATATAGTTCTTATCATAAAGGGTACAAGTGCAAGATCATCTTCAATTGTTTATCTCATGTTGATCAGACAAATCAACCACGTTAGAAAACATGGCTGGTTCAAGAGATTTTGGATGCCGCACCTGTTGTTCCTTCTCTGGTTGTATAAACACATTCTATGATGACTCGTTCCATGAGTTCCCACCATGCACAGACTATCACAAGGTATCATTTATTTGAAGGACTACTTGTATATGATAGTCAGAGTGGTGTAGAACCGACTTCTTACTCTCAGGTGGGTTTACGAAATTAAGAGAAAACCTTATGGTTCTTTGGAATGATACAAACTAGACTTGTAGCTCATAGTTTCTCTCAAGTTCCTGGTGTTGATTGCACTGACACTTTCAGTCCTATTGTTACTGTCCGTATGGTTTTATCTTTGGCCACCTCACAAGGATGTGACATTAAGCAACTAAATGTTCACAATGCCTTCTTGTATGGATTTATTCAAGAAAATATTTATATGAAACAGCCATGGGGTTTCGAAGATCAGACACGTCCAGATTATGTGCTTGTTTGGCAAGTCTTTTCTAGAAGATCTGTTACAAGATCTGATGGTTAAAAGATAGGATGAGCTTTTGCAAATAGACCTTGGAAGACCAAAGATTGATTGAATATTTTACATAGATCTCACAAAAGACCATAAAAGCTAGAAGACCGTTTGGTAATGTGAATGTCTTGTCTGTGGGCCAACAAACCTTTCATTTAACATGTGGGACCCACATACCATTAGTGGACATGCATGTAGGGCCCACGTACATTTTACAATGTGGGCCCAACATGTCATTGGTGGACATGCATGTGGGGTCCATGTATTGACATGTATGAGGGGCGCACGTACATTTTTACAATGTGGGCTCGACATACCGTTGGTGGTCATGCATGTGGGGTCCATGTGTGGATATATATGTAGGGCCCACATACAATTTACAAGGTGGGCCCCACATGCCATTGGTGGCCATGCATGTGGGGTCTATGGGTGGACATGTATGTGGGTCCCATATACATTTTACAAGGTGAGCCCCACATGCCATTAGTAGACATGCATGTGGGTCCATCTATGGAGATGTATGTGGGGCCCACATACATTTTGCAAGGTGGGCCTCACATACAATTGGTGGACATGTATGTAGGGTCCATGTGTGGACATGTATGTGGGGCCTACATACATTTTACAAGGTGGGCCCCACATGCCATTTGTGGACATGCATGTGGATCCATGTGTTGACATGAATGTTAGGGCCCACATACATTTTTCAAGGTGGGCCCGACATACAATTGGTGGACATGTATGTAGAGTCCATGTGTGGACATTTATGTGGGGCCCACATACATTTTGCAAGGTGGCCCCACATACCATTGGTGGACATGCATGTAGGGTCTATGTGTTGACATGTATGTGGGGCCCACATACATTTTACAAGGTGGGCCCCACATGCCATTGGTGAATATGCATCTGTGTCTATGTGTAGACATGTATGTGGCACATACATTTTACAAGGTAGGTCCCACATAATACTAAATGTGGGCCCCACATAGATTTTCTAAGGTGGACCCCAAATACCATTGGTAAGTCCCACTTACAAATTCAAATAGTTCTTGTGGAAAGATAACCCATTTTCTCCTAAGCGTGTGCATCATACCTCACGTTTGAAGAAGACATGGCACTAAAAGACTGTAAAGGCTTCATTTGAAGCTTCCAGAAAAAGCTCAAATTTGGGCTTCTAGCGTCTTTTATGGGCTGAAACTTTTCCCGAATAGATCTTTCTATTGCCAAACGGGAAAAGCCCAGAATTCAGGCTTCCGGGCTTCTAAATAGCTTGAAGCCCGTGCGAAAAGACTTGATAAACGTGGCTTACGTCTGCAAGCTTAGAAAAGCTCTCTATGGTCTTCGTCAAGCCCCTCGGGCTTGGTTCTCTCGACTTAGTAGCAGACTTCATGAGCTTGGCTTTAGAAGCTCTCTGTGTGATCCCTCTCTCTTCATTTACACCAAAATTAATATTTCTCTATATATTTTGGTTTATGTTGATGATATTATTGTTATTGGTTCTTTTGTGTTTCTCAACACATTTTGGATCTGTCTCGTAGTTTCTCTCTTAAGGACCTCGAATCTCTACACTATTTTCTTGGAGTAGAAGCTCATCGAGACAAGACTGGGCTGTTTTCTCTCTTAGAGGTGTTAAATTTTGGACCTCCTACAAAAAACTAATCCGGCAGCCTCTAAACCCTTGACCACTATGGCTCCCACATCCAGATTGTCTAAATTTCAGGGAGACCCGTTTCCTGATCCTACTCAGTATCGTAGCATTGTTGGGGCCCTGCAATATGTTACACATACACAACCAGATGTGGCATTTACGGTAAACAAGGCTTGCCAATTCCTTCAGAACCCGACCAATGATCATTGGACGGCAGTAAAATACATTCTGCATTATCTCAAAGATTCTACATCTAATTCTCTTGGGTATTTAGTTGCATTTTCAGATGCTGATTGGGCTGGTTGCCTTGATTACTTTTGGTCTACTGGAGGCTATGGTATTTTTCTTGGGTCTCATTTAATCTCCTGGAGTGTGAAGAAACAACCCACCATTGCCCGTTCTAGCATTGAAGCCGATTTTTGCTCATTAGCTAATACTACCATCGAATTACTATGGCTTCAGTCTCTACTATGGGATTTGGGTATTCATCCGTCTGTTCCGCCTATTCTTTACTGTGGTAATATTGGTGCCACGTATTTGGAAACGCATCCAGTGTTTTATGCTCATACCAAGCACATCGAAGTGGACTTACATTTTTTGTTTAATCACATTCTCCATAAAAATCTGGATGTCCAATATATTTCTACTGATAGGCTTGAAACTCAATCTAAACCAAGTAAAATCGAACCTTTCATGAACCAGGCGTAAATAACTTGTAATGAAAAGCTCAATCTACACCCACCCTATTTTAAGAAAACTACTTGTATCGAAACCAAGTAAAACTACTTGTATCGAAAGGATTATAATAGAGGCAGGGGATCCCATTTTCAACCTCTCCAATGAGTGTTTCAAGAATGCAAAGAGTTACTATTGAATTATTATGGTCAAAATTAAATAGTGTAATTACTTGCCCATCTATTAAAACAAATGAAAATAAATATATTATAGCAGAAGATCTCAAAGCTACATAAAGAAGAACAAGAAAGTAAGTACTGCCACCCATGGAACCGGAACTGAGTAATAACTACAAATGAACCGGCACTGTTTTTTGGGTCAGTGATTCAACTTTTTGGATTGAACGGTTTGACCCATAACATTAAATAAATAAAATGATAAAAATATAAAAATATTTTTAAATAATGATAGTATACCATGAAATATTTATAAATAATGAAAAGACAATCAAAAGTAAATACAAGAAAATTTGTAATGGTAACACTAACAATATCTAAATATAAAAGGTAAAATGCAAAAAAAAATACAAAAAATACAGAAAATGCAGAGAAAAGTTCAAAACAATTGTAAAAGGGCATACATCTCTATATTTATTACACTATTAAAAGTATAGTATTTGGTAATGGTAGAACTTAGGGGTGGAAATGAATCAAGCCTTTTACGAGCTATTCAAGCTCAATTCATAGAAAGCTTGATTTGACTTGGTCTAAACTGAGCTTTAAGCTGACCTCAAGTCCAATGAAAACTGGCTCATGGGGCCCACAAGCCTAATAGAACTTTATATATATAATTTTTCTTTTTTATAGGAATCTTGATTCATCGTCGAATTCGAGCTGAGCCAAGCTTGAACTTGCAAGCTTTTAAGTCAAATCGAATTCAAGCTCGAGACTCATAGATTTATGGTAAGCTGAACTTGAATAGCAAAATATTTGATTTGGCTTAGCTCGAATCCACCCTTAATAATACTATAGCAAGAAAATTAAAAATATTTGATTTGGCTTAGCTTCAAACCACCAATCACTGGTCTCCTAGGTCACCATTGATCGATGGTAGATGTGGTCGGAGGTCGAATGGTGTCGTTGAAGCCTTGAAGGTTTAAACTCAAGTTTGAACTGAGAACTATGGTCTAAGAATTAACGAAAGAGGGAAGAATTTTTGTCTTTTTCCCTCTTTTTCAGACTCTAAAACCTTAAGAGGGAATACTTTTTTTCATTTTATTTAATTATAAAAAATAGAAAACGTGCCCGGATTGAACAGTTTAATGGTTCAACCCCCCATGTCAACTGTTTTTTTGACAATTTCAACATTTTATTTTCAAACATAGCGACTCATTCCAAAACCAGAGCTGGAGTTTCTAATCCAATTTTCAAAAACAGTGGCATGGACTACGTACCATATACACCTTTGAGTTTGATACAACACAGAGGGTAATAAAACATTCAATTGGCTTACGTACCTTGGAGTCTTAAAGTGCCGTTTAATCTATTGCAACTCAAATCCAACATTCGCAAGTTCTCCAGACCCATTAATTCTACAAATTTCATATTAATTAAATTACAAATATGATAAAAATTAACAAAGGAGAAATTGTCATAACTTTTCAACATTTGTCTTAAACTCATCATAAATTTTTAAGACGTTCAGGGCACTCGAAGGCACTAGGCTCCCAAGAATCAAGTCTTCCTCTACGAGTAGAGTTAGAGCTTGGAATGAAGGAATCACGATCCCCTTACCCATAGGGGGTACCCCGTATTTATACTTGAGTTGTCACAAGTAGGCGGAGATGAATGTTTCGGATGAGAGCCATACGAGGGTAGTTAGCAGGCATCGTGGGGATGCGGGGGCACTCCATGGTTGGCTCCATACGAGGGGAGTAGGGCAGCCCCCATTGTGCCGATTCACACCCCTAAGTCTGGTGCTCATGGGCTGCGCCGAGCCATCCTACATCACTTGCTCCCCACTCCCGAGGCCAAGGTGGAGGATTCAGCTTCGGCCAAAGGGAGTAGTAATGGTGGGCGCTAGTGGGTTCGGCGGCCAAAGGGTACCCCGTGGTGGGGTTCTCCTTTGTGCCTCTACTTGATTCGTCTTCACGAGCTGGGCCGAGATTACAAGTGTGCTTGTCCTTCGGCTGGAAAACCAAGCGGGGTGAACCTCGGGGAGGTCGAGGTTGCATCCCCGTGTGTTGGCAGCGCGAGGGTATTTGCGGCACTGATACCTCAGATTGACGATCTGGAGCCGTGCCTAGCACTAGCTTGAGTGTCGAGGGAGCACTCCATGCATAGAACAGCCTATTGGGTGACTTGGTGCACGGTTCACGGGGTCGAGGCGTTTGAACCAGCTGGTCGTAGTGGGCAAACCCATTGGTTCGCTCGGGGTGTCAATTTGCCTTCTGAGGATGTGCGCCTGGTGGTGCGGTGTAGCTGGGTTGTAGAAGCGGAAGTCACCGCAGCCATTAGATCTATCGCGATCTCAATCGTTGCTTAGGTGCCATGTCGTCTTCCGAGGCCGGGTGTTGAATGGCGCGTTGCGGTTGGGTCACGGAAGAGGAGGTATCTTGGCCGTTGGATCTGGTGAGATCTAGGCCATTGATTCTTCTTTAAATAGGGGCCTTAGCGATGATTTTCCTATCATTTGTCTTTAGGCACCCTTGGTATCGAGTGAACTCAACTCTTAGACAATCCTTTGACACACCTCGTCTCCACTTCTTTCACCCTCGTCTCTTAGGTAATTTTTAAGCAACGTTTTTCTCAGACTCTGGCCCTGAGTGCTATGATCTTCCGAATGCCTCGGAAGAGAGCTCCATTTGAACTCCTTCCCTCCTTTCTCCCTTAGGTCCTTCAGCCATTGCACCCTTCAGTGAGAGGTGATGGTGCTCAAGGAGAGGGTGGCCTCTGGGGGTGCCGAAGGTAGCCGTCGAGGCAGTGACCCTCCCTGTGAGAGTGTCGCATCAGTGATGCCGAGAGGGAGCAAACCCTATAACTCATCCTAGTGGTGGTGGTTGATAGCGCTGCCCAAAGGGTAGCGGAGGTGGACATCGTGCGTTCGAAGTTCGACAGCATTCTACACGTGGACCAAGTGAGAATCCTAGCTAGGAGGTTCCACATCCCTCAGTCTTACCAGCTTAGGATTCCAGATCTCAGCGATCGGCCATGGACCCCTGAGGAGGGGGAAATTTGTGTATACCAACACTTTTTAGAATTCGGCCTTAGGTTCCCCCGTCATCCCTTGATCTCTGAGCTGTTGGAGTGGTATGGCATCACGATCAACCAACTTGTCCCCAACTCTATTAGGACCTTTGTAGCTTTGCTAGTGTGGGCTTGGCTTCGAGACATGGAGTTGACCCCTAAGATGATCCATGCCATGTATGTGTCGCGACCTCACTCCTCTGAGGCTAGTATGTACTATCTTTAGCCACAGAGGGAGAGGCCGATTAATAACCCTACCTTCATTCACAACTGGAAGGGCAAATTTCCTTCATCTCCTACCCTAAAGGTTGGTCGTTCAAGTTGAAGTGGGGAAAGGCCTGTATAACAATCGAGAAGTATCCCCCTCCACTCCAAGATGAGGAGGCCACTGCCGTGGTGCACCTAATCGTGTTAGGGATGGCCAAGGCTTGGTGGAGGAGGAGCTCTCCTTGGTGTTTGCGGGGCTCAGCTCTGCCCCTCTCGGTAGGAGAGGACTTCTAGATGTTTCACATGTTCCCTTCATCCTTGTCCAATGTACTGATGTTTTCCCTTTGTTTGTAGAGGTACGCATGGACTTCAAGAAAGATTTGATGCAGCAGGCTTGTGCCAAGCAGGAGCGAGAAAACCAAAAGGCAGGCTCGCAAACACCATAGAGGCCCATTGAGGTCACGCTAGTGAGGAATGGGCGGGTGGCCAACGCTACTAAGGGGGGGGGGGGGAGCTTCACAGCAAGTCCCCGCCAAGGGGGCAGTTTCACAAGTCCCCTCCAAGGGGACATCCACAGGTCCCCGCCAAGTGGAAGAGGCTAGCTGACGGGAGTTAGAAGCTGACCGAGGCGACGAAGAAGCCCGTGGGAGGAGCCAAGGCGAGTAAGAAGAGGCCTCGAGAGAGCAGTCGCCATAG